CGCACAGAGTGTATACACCAAACCAATACATGCATGCCATGTGTTTAAATTTATAGTTCATTTTACTTAACCATAATTAATTAACATGTGTTTTACTTCATTAAATTACATAATAATGGAAATTGCATTAGTTTGGTGTATACACCTTGTGCAGGTAAGTTTTTTCCTTTTAAGGGTAATATTAGACCAAGAAAGTGGACTGAGGGGTATTTTTAACCCAATAGGTGAATGAAAGGTATTTTTAAACCTTTTCGAATAGTTTAGGGGTATTTTTGGCCCTTTTCCGTAAAAGAAAAGAGAAAAAGAACTGAAAGATACTAAATATTAAATTTTTACTATTACTTTAGTTTTTTTTTTTACAGTTTTTTAAGATTCAAATTTAGTACTTAGTTAACTATGTGTGTTTCCTTTTTTCTGTAGGAAGTTATCATATTTTTAATCTGAAAATTTTTAATTATCTCTCCACAACTCCTCCTTATTTATAGAAAATCAAATGCAGATAATAGTCATCTATTTATATATAATAGGAAAGTAAATAGTGTCACGTAGGGCTGTTCACGGGTCGGTTTGGATCGGTTATTGATCAAAATCAAAACCAAACCAACTTAATCGGTTTTAAAATTATCAAAACCAAACCAAACCAAATATAATATATATTTATCGGTTTGGTTGTTATCGGTTTTGGTTCGATTTGGTTTGGTTATTCGGTTATTAGCCATAGACAAAAATAAAAGAAACAATTCATTCAAAACGTGAAAAAATTGACAGCAATCCATTTAAAACGAAAATAATTAGAATGACTGACATTATAGAACTTTCAATAATTGAATTTACTATGAATAACGCTTCAAAATTCATTATTTTGACCTAGAAGAAAGAGAAAGTGAGATTTTCAATCTTATAAAGAATTGTCATAGACACACTCATATACATAAAACCAATAAGATAAATATTCTCACCTTGGGCATTTTTTCTTTCATAAGTAAATTATAAATAAATTTTGATGAAAACACATATAAGATCTTTAAAATTGTTTATAAAAATAATATATTAGGTATGTCTATTAATAAAATATATGTATATAATTTGTCGGTTCGGTTTGGTTATATCTTCGGTTTTTTCCGAACAAAACCATAACCAACCTATATACTATCGGTTTTTAAAAATCTAAAACCAAACCACACCTAACCTAAATAAAAATCGATTTATTTAATCGGTTTGGTTCAATTTTTCAATTTGGATCGGTTTTTATCCAAACCGTGAACACCCTTAGTGTCACGTGTTAACACCATAATTTTTTTTATATAAATTATAAAATTAATTTAAAATTTTAAAATAAAAATAAAGATTGCAAACACTAAAAAAGGAACTGAAAGATACTAAATATCATTTTTTTACTATTACTTTAACGTTTTACAGTTTTTAAAAAAAATTCAAATTTCAGTACGTATTCAACTACGTTTTGTGGGAGTTATGAAATTTTTTAATTATTTTCTATATATATATACAAATTACTAAAAAAATTCAAACACTTTAAACTGTTTATTAACAGTTGATATTTATAGTTTGCTTTTGACAAGTTAAATTAATATTGTTTTATGCTTATTTGTTATAAAGTCCTTTTATTAGTTTATATAAATGAATATTAATGAAAAAAAACAGTTTCATAACTCTTCGTTATTCCTTCACTATTTATACTGTTCTATAATCAATGAAAAGTTGTGTTGATAACCTTTTATTTTATTAGTAATTATCTTAAATTAAATTTTAAAAATCATGAAATATATAATTATGGTTGTTTTAAATAACTAAGTAAAGATCTCTAAAAAAATAAATATAAAGTGTAGTAGTCATGTACCCATATGCCTTGTTTCTTAATTTTTTTTATCCGAAATTATTTTTTATAATTTGAGTGATAGAACTGCTTTCATGTGAACTGATTCTTCATTCATTTTTTTTTTATTTAAGTAAGAAGAAATAAGTTTGATATGTTATTTACTTTTATCTCAAAGACTTTGTGGAGTTAAAAAAATAAATACCAAGTAACATTATTTTGATGGTACCCACTAATTTTTAGAAGTGGGTTTACAGTTGAAAATATCATTCAACGTAAGAATTATATTGTGCTAAAATATTACATATAATTATATAAATTTTTAAAATATTATATACTTGATATATGACTTTTAGAGAAATTGAAAGACATAATTTAAAATTTTGAATAACATGCCTATAATTTGATATTCAAGTGATTAAAACTTCTTAGTTTTATGTAAGCGTTATCATAATCATATGATTTTTCTTAATCATATAGTATCTTAATTTGATGATTAAATTTTATTATATCTTCATTATTCTGACGAGAGGATAATATGAATAGGGTGAAAGTATTTATAATTTTGAATAATGTTATAAATAAATAAATTAAATAATGTTAAAAAAAAGTATATTGTCAAATTTAGAGGATAAACTAAGCTTATATTGATTTATTCACATAAAAATTGTATTATAACATATCAATGTGCTAAATGTTAGGCATTCTTTCAAATAAAATTTATAATATTATCTTATAATAAGTAAAATTTGAAAATAAATCAAGATTTATGGTTACATCTATCATCTAATCGCTCAACGCGCGGGTACATATACTAGTAAAGGATAAATGTGAAAGTAAACAAAATGAAATATTATCATAACCTCAATAATACGAATAATATAACATAACTCAATTATAATCCCCAAAATTTGGTTGTCATTGTACAAGCCTCTAAGTATTACATTATATTTAAGAAGTACACATCTGAATGTCTTTGTTTCTAGAATAGAACAAGAACATAATAAAAGAGCAAGATCTGTCCGCTGAGATAACTAGCAGCTACTTCACAAACTCTCCATAATAATCCTCGGACGAAGAAGAGGAGTAATCACAATGATCTTAGCTCATAACCTACACAAGTGTAGAAGCAAGGACAATCCATTGCAGATGAAATATCTGTCATTAGATCTAATATATGCAATATATTCAAGATTTTTTTTTTAGGGTATAATCATTTATCAAGCGTCCGATTGGGTATGTATTCCAACACTAGGGCCTTGAAGTCAAGGTTGGAGTAGCTAGTAATGACTTTGATCAGATTTTTATGGCGGAGGTTGCGGAGTATTTCACATTTCGTGTCAAGCCTTTTGAATTCTCCCTCCAATTGCACATTGAAAAACTTTGGTGCGAATAGGATACCATCCTTAAGTGTCCCTTTGTAGACCATGTTGAAACTCTCATTACCAAGCAAGTTGCTTTAACTCAATCCTTCTTTTTGCCTATTCAAGTTCATAATAGGAAATTCTTTCGTGCCTTTTTACAAGAGACACATCTTCTTGATTTGTATTATTCTTTATGTTTCTCAATTTTAACACCACATATCCAACAACGTGAGGAGTGATCCATTCCCTAACAAAATATATAACCCTATAAGAACTCTTGTTCTTCTTGAGTTGTTTGTTGATTTGGTTAGTGTTGTTTTATGTTAAACGGGAAGTCACTATAGAGTGCATCATCGGACACGAAAGATTGACTTGTTACATTTGTGAAAGGGCCACCAGTGGGAATTCCTCCACTAAGTTTATTGAATGAGAAGTTAAGGTATTTGAGATACACAAGAACTTTTTTATCACCCTGGATGACGCACACTGCTTTAAATAAAGCGCAGTGAATAATGCTAGCATAGATAGGAGCCTATCTCCAGTAGGCATCAGAGTAGATCTCCACTAAACAAAGAAAAAGAAAGGGGGTGCGGATCACTTCTAATGACTTTGCAATTTTAGCACTAAGATTGTTATAGCACAAATCTAAGAATTTTAGTGCAAACATTTTGCGAATCTAATTTATTATGTTCTAGAGAAAGATTAATCAATATTACTCGATACATGAGTTCTATGAGATATTGAAGGCTCCCAAGCTTTCCGGTAATCTTGAATTCATCCTGTTGTAAGCTAGATTAAAATACCTTAAAACTCACGGTGGCACGGAACCAAAAAATTGATTTCCTTACAAGTCTAATAATGCATCTACATTCTTTAAATTAAGATAACATCAGGTATGATTAGGTAAAGTTCTTGAAGGTTCAGCATGCCTAGCCACTCCTAAAAAATCACTGGTATATCGGACTTGTATGATTCCTCAAATTAGACAACCATAATCTAGAAGGTCCGATTCCTACCTGAAAGTGGCTCCTTACCTCGGCTCAGTACATTTTGTGTAGCCAACAACATATTGAATGGCCAGTGTCACATTTTTTCAACTGGGAATTTGTGTAAATAATCCAGGACTTTGTGATACCATATGTTTTAGAATGCGTATGGAACCTTCGTGTTCTGTTTGTTTATGGCTTTGTGACAGTTGGTCGCTTTTCATTTTACTCGGTAATCATCTTTTTTGTCAATTAAGAAGACGCTTCATTGATAATCCAAAGGAGAACAAAGGCAATGGTGATCGAGAGGCCAACAAAATGTAACAAATATATCGGACTGTTTCTGTGATTGCTCAATTCTATGACCAAACAGGGGACCCTGAAATACAGTTGCATGTGGTCTAGAAGCTGGGGTACGAGTTCGACATAAGCTTGACCAAGAACACGTCATTCTTTCTAGTGTCTTCTTGCAATCGTCTTTTCTAGGGTCTTCCATATTTGAGTAATAACAACATTGGTGTCTTGTGCATTTGTGCTCGATTACAGATGAGCCAAATTCAGACGGGTTTCCCCATTTTTAGTTGTGTGAATCAACAATACTATTCAAAAAAAGATGACAATAAACTCGTAATAGGGGAATTGTAGTAGCTTAATTGGTTGGCTACTCTGAACTTTCACCTTGGTGTTGAGGGTTCAATTACCCACGTTGTAATCCCTTTCCCCATTTTGCCTTGCAAAAAAATAAAGAATAAAAAAAAATAGTAGATTTGGGTACAACTTTAGATTGCAAAATATAGCAATTTTGTAGTTAATCAATTAACTACATGCATCTAATTCAAAAGACAAAGTTTCTGTTGCTGTATCAAAAGTTAATCCTATACCTTGGAGTTGATAACTTCCTATAATTGCGAGGGGTTGGTCCCATTTCGTAAAAGCCATACAGAATAGCCCCCTCTCATGAACCACGACTCGTTTTTGTTCTAGTAACAACAAATTTTCTGGGTTTTGTTGACCGAAGTACATCTTCACAACGGGGAAAGTTGGTACCACACCTGGATCCACCATATAGCAAGTGTCAAAATTTCCAAGTGGAGCATCATACACAGGAATATTTACTTCCTTTCTGAATGTATCACGGAATACTGTATAAAAATCTTGAGGGAAACTGGTGACAGTTACTCCTGTATCCACGAAGCAACTACCGGTCATGTCATTTCCAAAATTCCGCGACAGTGATGGGAACCATGGGACTTCCTTATTGTTAATAAAAACTTTAAAAAGGTTGATGAAATAATATGTAGGCAATCTGGAACTTGGTAATAGTCTTGCTGATGTTTTTTTTCTTAAATGGTGTTGTGTGGAAGCTAATTGTAGATGTTTTTGTGGAGTAAAACTCCGGTAGACATAAGGCCATTATATCCGCCTTAAATTGCGATTGTAAAGAATATCCACCTACATTTACTCTTCGTCCGAGGCCAGCAATTCCAGAAAATTCACGACTAAAAGCTGATCCACTCGTTTGATCTCTGCCACATCCAAAAAGAATGCTTACCTGATTTTGGTCTAAAACAAAAGTAATCACATCTTTTGCAATCCAACCTCTTGTTCTTGATCCATCCCCGTATTTGTAATCATAGATACACGTATTACCTTGCGGAATACAGTCAATAACCTTGGACTTGAATACACAATTTCTACTTTCTGCAACACAATCGAGTTTTCGATATGTTTTTGACTTAAATAAATCATATAAAGGTTCAGTTTTTTGTTCATAACACTTATTTTCTGCACATGGCCCACATTGCCACCAAACTAAATCACTGCCTGTGTCTATTAGCAAGTGCCTTGTAGTTTGTTGATCAGTACCAAGAATAAAAGATGCTACATACTCACCATCTGCGAATTGTAGACTTGTTGTTTTCGGAACATTTCCGTTGTCCCTTTTACTCTTATGTGCTCCTTGTGGCCTTGTCCGAGTTCCATTCTCACCAATCATGTTACTGTTCTCGAGAATCATAGCCAAATTCTTCGCTCTAGCTTGAGAACGAGCAAGCCTATTTTCAAGTAATGAGTCATAGTCTTTGAACTTTGACTTTTCAAATAAACCGCGATTGTAAAGTGCAAAAGTATAGGATGGCATTGGAGGATCTGGAATCTTAGTTGGATCAATAGACATAAATCTTTTTCTAGCTTCCATGATGTAACTTGAGTTAAGTGGTGAAAAAGATTTTTCATTGCCCAAAACTACTAGCAAATATGACAAAATAATTGGAATCACTAGGTGAATATGGAAGAACTTCTCCATTGGTATTAGGAATTATTTTTCTAATTCTTTGATTTGCTTTGAGATATGTCTACCACTTCTTGCACTTATATATATATTATACTGGTAGGTGTTGATATGTAAATTCAATTCTCTTTGACCAACAACAAAAAGGATAAAAAAGGAGTTAATCTGTAAATTCAATTTTTCCCATAGTAGATTTTCTTGCCATAACTGCAAAAAGGATCAAAATTTGACTCCAATTTATTCTTTGCTTTGAGATATGTCTACCACTTCTTGCACTTAAATTGAGACCATGAATTGTTGGCAAAGGGATTGATATGCTGGGCTGGCCTTGCCAAACGTGATTTGAACTACTTTCATACGCGCGCATATATATATATATACTACCTTAAAAGCATGAACTTCTAAATTGAATGTTAAATTACTATAATGCCCCCAATTAAAAATATTTAATTTATTTAATTTATTAATTTAATTATTTGTATTATATTAAAAGTAGATACCCTTTCATATTAAAGAGTTGTGATTTTTTCAAAGAGTTGTGACTTTTCCAAAGGGTTGTGACTTTTTTGACGGGTTTTGACATTTTCGATGAGTTGTGACTTTTCTGAGGGGTTGTGATTTTTTCAAAGGGTTGTGACTTTTCCAAAGGGTTGTGACTTTTTTGACGGGTTTTGACATTTTCGATGAGTTGTGACTTTTCTGAGGGGTTGTGATTTTTTCAAAGGGTTGTGACTTTTCCAAAGGGTTGTGCCTTTTCCGATGAGTTGTGACTTTTGCAAAAAATTGTGACTTTTTTGATGAGCAGTGACTTTTTCTAAAGGTTGTAACTTTTCTGATAAGGCACAATTAGCACCTATTCATACTACTATTTGGTAGCTATAAATAGAGGAGCTTCCTCTCACTTTTAAACTATGTTTTTTTTTAAAATTTTTTTACTCTTGTTCTTCTTAAAAAGTCTCAAAGTTATTTGCATAAGTTGATTAAGTTCAAAAGTTCAACAAAATTCGAGGTACCACATTAGAAAGAGTTGGTGAACAAATTGTAGCAAATCATTCATAAATTTCCACTCATATTTTTTCTTACGATTTTCATGAGTTAACAATGACGAAAAGTTGTGGGAAAGACAATAATAATAAACAAATATGAAAAAAGTCACATGATTTGGGTAAGATATTTCTTCTTTATTTTTTTATTTTTTTTTTACCCTCAATTGAAGGAGTTTCTTTCTAATTTTGCTAAAACAACGGACATCAATATAGTCTATTGAATCATTAAATTTGATGTTAATTTCACTATTTAAAAAATAGATTTTCACTTTTACTTATAATATGATAATATAGTCATGACAAGAATTATGTTTTAATAGATATGTAAGTAAAAATGAACGGAGAAAGTAAAGTGTTGGTAGCAAAAGATTTTAATCAAATGAAACGCTATAGTGAATATAGCATGATTAAATATTTTCGTCTTCCTTCTTCATTGACTATGTATTGTTCCATATATTTTTTCTTTTAATATTTATATTGAGTATGGAATTTTTTAGGTATGAATTTCCTGGTTTTTTTTTTTTTTTTGGTTCATTTTAATTTGAGAAAATGTTATGTCACAAGATACACTCCTTGCAAGCTATATAAAAATAGATAAGAAAATAGTGATTGATCATAAAATAATCTTAAATCAAATTAAAGATTCTATAAACAATACTATAAATTTTATTCATCTATTAATTTTTATTATTTAAAAAGTTTAATATTATATATCATGATACAACTTCTATAAGATACTAGATACTTTCATTAGACAACAACTATATGATATGTATGCGGCAGAAAAAAGGAGAAGATCACCACAATTCTACAAAGATAAGGTAGAAACTTAAAGAAATGAAATATTTTTCACCAAAGGTAGTGTTGTTCATATATTAAAATTAAATTATGCTACTGAAATATATATGTATAACTAAAACAAAGAATTGGTCAAGCTAAATATTGACATACACTCAAACCTCAATTTAAACATCATTCGTTATAACAATAAAGTACTTTTTTTAATTGTAGAATTACCTCTCTATGATAGTCTTACTTAAATGGTGTCCATCATTTATGTTCATAACCTCAAGAGGAAAGACTATTGGTGACATATTTTGTATTGATATTTTTCTTAAAATTTTATTGGTTAGATTTGTTTACAAAATTGAGTGAAGCAAAAAATAATACTACTAAAGAAATATGACGTTCTCCCCATATTTAAACTTCGGATGTATTTTAAAATGTTTCAATGATATCTGGTCATTTTGATCTCAAAATACAAGTAACTCTATGACTATTTGTATTAATCATTTAAAGCACTTGTCCTATGTTCTTTAAATTATACTCCCTCCGTCCCATTTTATGTGGCAATATTTGACCTGACACGGAGTTTAAGAAATAATGAAGACTTTGAAATGTTTACCAAATTACCCTTTAAAAAGTAGACTCTTTTTTCTCTCTCCTCATAAATGTATTGGAGTATTATTTTAAGATTAAGTGGGACCAACAAGGATAAAAGAGGAATTGTACCTTTATAAACTTACCATATAAGGAAATGTAACATTCTTTTTGGGACTGACCAAAAAGGAAATGGTGCCACATAAAATGGGACAGAGGGAGTAATTATTTACTAAAAAAAACTTTAATATAGTAATATTAATTCTATTTTACAACATTGTATACTATATATACGATACACACGTGCAACGCACGTGCCGTGAAACTAGTACTACTTTAAAAGTATGAACTCCCTAACTTGAATGTTAAATTACTATAATACCCCAAACTTAAAACACCCATTATAGTAAATATGTTGTATTTTTATATTATATTTATTTGTTTGTTCTATATCATATTAAAAGCTGACACCTTTTAATATTGATGGGTAGTGACTTTTCCGAAGGGTTGTAACTTTTTGATAGAATTGTGACTTTTTCGATGAGTTATGACATTTCCAAAAAGTTGTAACTTTTCTGAAGGATTGTGAGTTATCTGATAAGGCACAATAAACACCTTTTCACATTGAAGGGTTGTGACATTTCCAAAGAGTTATAACTTTTTTGAAGAGTTGTGACCTTTTTGAAGGGTTGTGACTTTCTATAGGGTTGCGACTTTTCCGAAGAGTTGTGACTTTTCTGAAGGTTGTGACATTTCCAAACAGTTATGACTTTTCCGATGAGTTGTGACCTTTTTGAAGTGTTGTGACTTTTCTAAAGGGTTGTGACACTTTTTTTAAAACAATAAGAATTTTTTTATGCACTATCCTTTCTTGGCTATAAAAAGAGGGGTTTTCTCAAATTTTTAAACTTTTTTTTTTTTGAAGTTTTTCATTGTTCTTATTCTTAGAACATCCAATTTAGTATATCATCTATATTTTATATATTTACTTATTTATTTATGTTATATTATATTATATTATATTAAAAGAAGACACCATTTCACATTGAATGGTTACGACTTTTCCAAAGAGTTTTGATTTTTCCGATGAGTTGTGACATTTTCAAATGGTTGTGACTTTTATGATAGAAACAATATGCACATTCTCATACTACCCTTTGTTAACTATATATGAAGGGGTTTCTTCACATTTTTAAACTATGATTTTTTTATGTTTTTTATTCTTCTATTCTTAAAAACTCACGTTTGATTTTCAGACGTTGACAATCTCAAAGTTCAATGAAATTTAAACATTCCCTAACATGAATGATAATTAATATAATACTCAAACTAAAAATATCAAATTTAGTATATCTTTTATATTTTACATCAATATTTATTTATATTATATTATATTAAAAGTAAGAATTCCAACAATACAATAATAACAAATTAATGCACTAGGGGGGAGGGAGAAGAAAGCATATTTTAGAGGATGTGTAACTAAAATATTTTAAAAGTGACTAACTTTTAGTAGTAATCATAAGAAAGCTTACATCCACTATTCATAGGAACTTATACTTTATCATTCATTTTATAATTGTTTACATAATATTTTAATTTAATAATATTCACATTATTATTAATGTAATGCATGGTTTGATATTCACGTGCAACACACGTGCGTCAAAACTAGTATATATATATATATATATATATATATATATATATATATATAGTAGATTTGAACTACAAATAATATATTTTCTTACATTAAAATGATATGGACTTTGACCAACACTTAAAATATGTTATCTGGAAAGGAAAGAATAGTAGATTTTCAAAGGAGTTAAATTATGTATATTCATTCTCTTTGAACAATTACAAAATGAATTATATTCCCTATAAAAACAATCAATATGTTATAAAATAAGTATTAATGCTAAGATAACAAGAAAGATTAATGAGAGAATAGTAGGTAAAATATTTTATATTCACTTTTTCTGCTTCTCTCTTTTCTACAAAATGAGGGGTATATATATGTGTATATACTTGGACATCAAGTGTAATACATGGATATCTATTTGCCATGTATATACTTTGGTCACCAAGTATATCATATGGTTAATTAGTATACAACACTTAACATATTGTGTGTATATTTATCTTCCAACACATAATATCTTAATGTGCATCCATTTTACAACACTCCCCCATGGATGTTCATATAAAAGAAAAATAATAGTGAAAGAAACTGTAGTAATACGTATTATTTGCTGCCTTATTAAAAATCTTACCAAGAAAATCTAGTGGGATAAAACCTTGGTTAAGGAAAAAAAGTGCAGCGCGTATTTACTCCTCCTGATCAAAACATCACTTAATATTTTGAATATGACACATTACGATCTTATTTCTCTGCTTCTCAAAGGTTGAAGTTGGTAATGCCTTGGTGAATATATCTTCTAAATTATCACTAAAACGAATTTGTTGAACATCTATTTC